AACTAGTCGCATGCATTGCTCAGGTGTGATTTTGCTGAAAAACAGCCCCACACCATGATGTTCCCACCTCCAAATTTCACTATTTACCAATAGTGAAGTGGTATGGTGTTTTTGGGCTGATGTGCAGTGCCATTTGACCTCCAAACATGATGTGTATTCTGGCATCCAAACAGTTCAGTTTTGGTCTCATCTGACCAGACTATATTCTCCCAGTATTACACAGGCTTGTCTAAATGTTGTGCAGCGTCCTTCCTGTCACCGTCCAGAAAAGGTGATTGGAAACGGCTTGATTCGAAAAAACTTCCTCTAATTCGCATAAAAGTTGATACGCTTGCTTGGCGTTTTTTAGGGTTTTTCGAAAAAGGCTTAATGTGGAAAAAGGAGAGATGGAAACACATTTGTCGAATAAGTTCTGACGTAGCAAACATTTACCTCACTACATACATGTGTCTGACATAAGTGTTTTGCTTCAAGCCAGTTGATGGAAGCACATCTGATTTGCATTTATTCTTTCTCTCCTATTTGCGAAATTTTAAAAATTCGCTCAAAATTCAAATTAAAATTGGATGGAAACATGGCTACTGACTGCAGGAGTTGGGCACCAGTGACCCTTGACCCTGAAAAGAAGGAGCAGTTAAAAGATAATGGATGGCTAAAACTCAAATTAAGATGGCCACCACAGTTATGTAACCTTGCAAAACAATACAAAAATTTTCATCATTTAACCAATTTTACAAACCTTGCTTAAAACCTTGGCATTAATTGTTGGACTGATCCCTGTTTGTTGCCGAATAACTTATAACCAATGCATGGATTTTATTGAAACTATAAGAAAATCTTCAGTGGATGTTCATCTATAGCTGATTAACCTTGAAAGTAAAACCCAATTTAACACAACTGCAACAGCTAATCAACCTTAAACTCATAAATAGCCTCTGAATTTTACAGAAACTGAGCTTAACTTTGTCGGATATTACAGTATATTGCAGTCATTTTTAAAAAACAATCTCAGTTTAAAACTCATGGAAGGTGGAGGTTGATATGCAATTCTTCAAGAAATACTAAACCTTTCACTTTAAATCCAAACTTGGAGCCTAAAAACTGGATACATGTTCCTTTTATCTCCTTCTCCGCCTCTTTGCACACTCTCTTTAAATTTTTGCTTTTTTTACGGACTCCTGACTTCTCATTTCTTCTCAAGCCCCCTGTCTGCCCCCCTCCTCCTTCCTGTCTATCTGTCTGTCTCAGTCCTGCTTGCACCTTCATATTCACTCACACTCTCTCCACCCCGACTCCCCCCCACCTCCACCCCCAATCCCTTCTCTTTTCCCCTAGCAGGCTGGTGATTGACACTTACAAATTACCCGGCGGCAGTGGCATTGTGTGTGACCCCTCTCTCTCATCTCCAGCCCGCTGCAGCTTTGTCATCTAATTACTGTGAATGCCCGGCTTGCTCCCCTCTGCTG